TTGTCAAATGCTCAAAAACACTAAGTAATTATTTACAAAATTGGAGCAAAATATATTGGACTGAATTAAAGCAAAAGGGAAAGGGACAATATTACGCACTGTAATATTTGAGACCAAATGTATACAGCATATGTTAGAAAAAACTATCACAAAAAGAACTTTACAGACTTCATATCACCTGCTAATGTGCTGGAAACATAGACAATAGCTATTATGAGTCTGTAATCTTTCAAAATAGTTTTTGTAAGGGAGGAAAAAGAAGCAGTGTTGTGTCAACCCAAAGAAGACCAAGCCTTTCACCTATGCCATTGAGAAGCCAAGCAGCAGCTAAACATCACCTCTGATGGAATCCCAGTGGCTAGTTATCCAAACCCTATCTCCCTGGTGATGACATTAGATCAGACACTTCCTTCAAAGCTAATGTAGAGAAGATGAAAGGGAAAGTTAGTGCCTATAACAACAACTGCCAGAAGGTACTTACCTCAAAGTGGGGAGCCAATCTAGTTTATTTGTGAACCACTGGTATAGCCTTTTGCTATTCCTTAGTACAGTATGCCTGTATCATCTAATGAACCGCCTAACAAATGAGACCCCATTGTAAATAGCAGTAGCAGTAGTTATGGAATAACAGGATGTGGAAAGCCTATACAGGCTGGCATAGCACTATGAGGGTATATTTATACTACAGCATTATTTCAAAATATCTTCTTTCAAAATAGTTACAGGCAGTCCCTGGGTTACGTACAAGATAGGGACTATAGGTTTGTTCTTAATTGAATTTGTATGTAAGTCGGAACTGGCTCCAGATTCAGCTGCTGCCACTGAAACTGACCAGGGGCTGACTATAGGAAGCCGGAGGCAGAGTTGCTCTGCCCCCAGCTTCCTGGAATCAGCCTGATCAGTTTCAACAGCTGCTGAATCTGGAGCCTGGGACAGAACAGCTGGGGCGCTGCCCTGTAGGTTCCCACAGGACCACCCCGGCAGCACCCCAGCTGCTGTACCCGAGGCGTCCTGCAACAAAAGCCTGGTCTGCTGGGGGGGGGGGGGGCACGAGCCGCCCCCCCCCCCCCCCCCCACCCCCCCACCCCCCCACCAGCCTCTACAGGGGGCTGCCCAAACTTTACCCAGCTGAGGTCAGCACTGGCTGAGGACAGCGGATAATCTGACCCAGCGGGAGCCAACTGTGGCTGCTTTTGTCCTTAGTAATGGAGGTGCAGCCCTTGGCGCATCCCCCCACCCCCCGCTTGCTTTCAGCATCCTTCAGGATGAAGGTCGCCCCCAGCCCGGGTTGCAGGTGCTGTTCTAACTTCGGGGAACTCGCCCACAGCTGCCTGGGGGCCGTTCTCTGGACTAGGGAGCCATCCATCCGTGCCCACCAAGGGCCAGCAGCCCTCCCCCAACCCCGCACTGATATGGCCGTCCTGCAGGGTGGCACCCGCCCAGGAGACGTCCTCGCACCCTAAGAGGGCTTGGGGTGGGGGGTGTTCAACGCTGGGTTCCTTTCAAAGAAATCCTCCCTGTTCCCCAGCGCCAGGATGCCGGCGCCAAGAGCGCCAGGCTCCCGCAGCCGAAGCACCGAGACCCTTTGGAACAACATTCCGGATTGAGCGGATGGACCAAAACCAAACCCACGCCAGGCCCTGCCTCTGGGATTTCGGAAGCCACGCGGCTCTCTTAGGGGGGTCGGGAAGCAGTCCCCGCTCCCAGAGCAATTACTGCACAAAGCGAGTGGGCAGAGAGACACGGCCAAAAGCAACATTGCTGCTGTGGAACAAAATCTCCATTCCGGGCTCCACAAACCAGCAGGGAGTGATGCTAGATCAGGGGTGGGCAAAAGGGTCTCCGAATCCGGCCCACCCAGCAAGTTGATCCGGCCCACGGAGGCCCGGTTGCTCCCCCCCCCTGCCCCATGGCCAATCAAGGCCTTGGTCCCTGGCAACAGAAACATTGCACATTTCTGGTCTTTTTAGTCTTCTAACTCCATTTAGCAGACACAGTATCATTGTTACCTTATGATATCACAATAACCTTGATTCTTAACTTGTCCTTTTTAAGGCCGTTACTTCCTGGTGAGCTAGTATGCTATCGTGTAGCTTCATAGTATTCAGAGGTCTCGAGGACATTAGTTCTGCTTTTAAATTTAATACACTTAAAGAGAAAAATGGTAATGGAAGCTCCTGTGAAACCAGAGGCCATAACTGTTCTGTGAAATGTACAACTGTGTTCATTCATCCCTACCAATTTTATAGGTTTGTTCCTTTTTTGTCTTTTAAAGACCAAAGCTACGAGTTGTCTTTTTCACTAAGATATACATGAAGTTCTTATGAAAATTAGGCTATAAGATAGGAGTGGGTGATGGCATTCTGGTTGTTTAGTTGAAAGATGCTGGAGTGTAATAAATTCACGTTCCATTTGGGGTTGATCGTGATCTAGTACATAATTAAAATTGGTGATGTCATTGGCTCAGACGAGTGGGATGTTTGGGTAGTACTACAACAGGGAGAAAGGGATAACTTCAGGCTGGCAGGCTCGGAACTGGCACAGGCACTGTGACCAGAGTCTACCCCTTTAAGGGCTCTGGGGATGGGGGATGAGGGAGGGAGAGGATTGTTCTTGGTTGAGGCTGGAGTGGCCACCAGGGCACCCTGGGAAGGCTGGAGGCCCCCTATTTCAAAATAAGTGGCTACACAGCACTTAGTTCGAAATAGCTATTTCGAATTTGGTGTTATTCCTCGTAGAATGAGGTTTATCAAATTTGAAATAAGCTCTCTGCTATTTTGAATTAATTTCGAAATAGCAGTTGGGCTGTGTAGACACTAGAAAAGTTATTTCAAAATTACGGCTGTTATTTCGAAATAACTTTGCTGTGTAGACATAGCCTGAGCTATCAGGAGGAAGGTCAAAGGGAAAGATCATAGCCAATGAAAGATCCAAAACATCCATTACATGGTCACACAGAAAATATCAAATGCCTTCATTTGCAAATGAGTTTTGTAACCCATGATGTTACAAACAACTGGCAAAGCATGACTGAGGTTATGGAATTAAATACTATACCTAGTTGTGTATGCTGAAATATACCTGGAACTGCAAAGCACCTTTCCAGAGGTGTCAATGCAGACTTGTCGATGTAGTTAAATGGAGCTACTCTAAGGACATGAATATACACAAGTGTGGCAAGGTGCGAACTATAGAGCATTTGCTCATTTTCTCACTCTTTGGAGAGACCTGCACAAAAAAGATTGTATTCACTTGGAATGTTCTGAATTGGTTCCTAACCATTTGCACTGTTTAAAGCTAATTTGATTTAAACACAGTTGACCCCCTATCCTCTCTGCTCAGCCACACTATATTTAAAGTAAGTTAGCCTGAACTGGCTAAAAATGAACATAATATTCACAGTTATGAGCCAGCCACTCCTCGGGGATATAAAAAGTTTTATAAACCTAGCTTAACTGGCTAATAGACTGATGATCTGTTTCAACTGTTGTTCTGTTCAACATAGGCAACAAAAAGGCAACTAGAGTGTATTTTAAAATCCATGGAGGTCACTAAAATTATTTCCATTTATTCCAGTGAGTTTTCGATCAGCCCATTAAACCAGTTCATTAAATAAGTGTCAGCCGAAGCACGGATGTGTCTACTGTATGAATTTAGCAACCTTTGAGGACGGGTAGTTTTAATATTGACTCAGAAGTACAAATTTTCTTCTCTATTTCCTGCTGCATCTCAGTTTTTTTGGTGGACTCTAACTCAACTGAAAGCCCTTTAAACTTGTAAGGTCTGACAAACCCTCAGACGGAGCTGGTATGGAAGGTATGGAGAGATGGAGAGGCATGGAGAGATTATGAGGCAGCCTTAATGGTCAGAATACTGAACTGCTATCCATGATAAAAGGCTATTGTTTCTCTCAAGAGGCATGGAGAGATTATGAGGCAGCCTTAATGGTAAGAATACTGAACTGCTATTCATGATAAAAGGCCATTGTTTCTCTCGTCTATCATAAAGAACAAGAAACAAATCTACACCTGTGGTAAAAATGAAGCTTAACAACATTTGTGTGAGAGACATGGGTTCTCATTTATGGGTTTTACATTTCATTGTCTTAGTACATCTGTTCAGCAGAGTGTAAATGGCATTTTGTATGATGATTTCTTGGATTCACAAATAAAATACAAACTCAGAAGGATTTAAGCATTTGGAGAGCTTTAATGCATTTCATGTGATTGCCTATTATGCTGTAATTCTGGGTATGCTACCAGGGTATTTATTTTCTTATTGCAATATCTTTCTTCCTTTCTCCATAGTCTTCACTCGTTAAAAATGGACAGTACTAACAAGGTGTGATTTGTGGAAAGGGGCCAGAGGGTAGGGTACCTTTTAGAAAAGTGTCTAAGAATGTAAGATACCTTTGGGATTTATCACACAATTTCCCTGTTTCAATCTTCATTTGTTTTATATATCTGATGCTTGGGAAATTGCATGTAAAATTACGTGTCACTGGATTCAGAAGATAGCTCAGTATGTACAGAGCTGTTTGTGGCTCTCAACTATTTTGGTTGTGGTCTGATATTCTTTCATCTAAAGTCAAATCTTCAGGATGATCTCGAGTTTCTTCATTGGAGCATCATCTTTCTTTCTTTTTTTAAAAAATTGACCTACATGCATACTAGTTCCAGCTTTGGAATTATTTAGAAAAATGGCATTTGCAATGACATATCCACAGAAGCTTCCTATGCAGAACTATTTTTATCCTTAATATATTTTATTCAACTGTTTTAAATCAGTTGAAATTATGCAGAACTATTTTTATCCTTAATATTTTATTCAACTGTTTTAAATCAATTGAAAGCCAGTGGAAATATCTTTTCCCTGTTCTTTTACCAATCATGAGTGTGAATGAAGGTTCTGTGTGAGTAATAGCAATATGCAAATCTGATGCTATCAAAAACACAAACTCCGCTAGACAATTAAGTATTGCAGTTGGCAAAATTACTTACATTTTGCAGCTGGACTCGGCTTTGTGCCACGGTTTCTGATTTTGCCATCATGCTGGAAGCATTTAGGCTGTAGGTTTTCCCATTCTCTGTCTCTTTCAGCTGTTCCTGAATTTGTTTAGTTTGTTTCCTGCAGGCAGAAATACAGTTCATATAGGAATGCACTTGTTTTCTCCATTACTATAACTATGACATTCTCTTATGCCCCCATCCCTGCCCCTGCCTCATCTTGTCTTTCATCAGTGATACTAAAAACTTTATGTAATTAAACAGAGATATTTCCTAGTGGATTAACAAACCATGGCAATCTGGTAAGTAATCTACCAGCATCTCTCTATATTTCAATGCCGCAGACATTACCTAATAAAGTTTAATGCATGGAAGAAAAGAAATCCTGTTTTAAATAACCTTCATACTGCATTTACTATTAAAATTGATACCGATATTGTATCTAACATCGAGCATCCAATGTGCAGTCATCACAATTTGCAAATAGCTTTGGATGACTGAAGAACATGTATTCATTTGTAGCAGCAATATTTTTTGCCATGTGACCATTGTTATTGCCAATTTATTATGACAAGCCAGCGGCGGCCCTAGACTAGCTGCCAGCAACTGGTGCCCTAGGTGAACCATGCAATTGGCGCCCCCACCTCCAAACCCCTCAATGATATTGCACCACCATTTGGCACCCCATTTAACTTGCGTCCTAGGTGACCACCTAGTTCGCCTATATGGACTGGCCGCCTCTGCAACTGCCACAGTTGTTATCTGAAAAGCAGTATAGATCTGATCTTGGTTTAATCACTTTACCAGTCCAGATTTCCTCATACACTCATGCATTTGGCATGAGCCCAACCAGCAACAGCGGATTTGAGAAAAATGATTGGGGGAGAGGAGCATAAACTCCCAACCTGAGGTTGCGGACAATACTAGTTGAGCCATAATGACCAGCAATATTCAGTAAACAATTACAGATTTTACTACTGCATTTTTCTATCTGGTTCCATACTGAACCATCAATCTGAGTTCTAAAAACCGGTCCATCACTGAGGATGGGATACAATTATCTGCATTTTAAATATTTCTTTTTATTTTTCAAATGCAGAAAGCCCAGCTGGGCAATGATTATTAGCTGGACACATTGTTTGGCCTTTTATCTTGGTGACTGTTCATTCAGTCTTGATAATCTACAGAGTGACTCCATCAGACTTTAAATTATCCATAAAAACTAATTACACTTTTTTTTTTTTGCTACAGAAAATAAATAACAGCTGCAACAGCCTTCCATGAGTGGCCCCGATAAGCCTATTTTAAGATAGTTATGTCGGCATAGGCTCCTAGTGCAGATGCAGCTGACACCAACAAAGTTTTTCTGTCAATTTAGAAACAACATCTTCCCCATTAATGTTAGCAACATCAACAGATGCTCTCTTCCATCAAAGCTGCATCTACATGGGGGTTTTGGCAGCATAGTCAGGAGAGGGTTTTCCCACATTGCTGATAGTTGAAGCTAAGTTGACATAATATTTAAATGAATACCATGTCTGTCTAAAGAGCAAGAACCACCCTTCACACCAACAATAGCCTTATGACAACAGCTGACTGTAAGCCCACATTTAGAAGGAGCTAAGTATTTCCAGTAAAGTGCTGAACTGAAATAGAAAACGCAGGGGAGGAAATAAGATTTTCTTCCCTTATTGTGTTAAAATTGACATTTCAATGAAAAAGTTCATCGCATTCTACCAATATAGCCCTGAGTGCCCTCTCATACCACTAATTTCCATTAAGATTCCAATTTTATATAGCATACAAATTGATTAACAGACACTACAAACATGTTACAAATGTGAGCATCATGTGCGATACGTCATTTAAACTCGTGGGTAGAAGACATTATATACATGGGTTAGAAATGATTTTCCTATACTATAAAAATTTTGGAGACATTGAAAATTTTAGCATCCCAAACAGGATGAAATGTTGATATCTCAACAATTTGAAAAAAACAGATTGGTTCAAGTATAATGTGCTATTTTAACTCGAAATAGTTAATTTCTATTTTGATCTATTTAATGTTTTGTTTACTCTCTATTAATTTAAAGTTTGATATGAATATTGAATTTAACCAAAAATTGAAGTTTTTCATTTTGAAAACATTAAGGGTGTTCCAATGATTTGGGTTGTCTAAAAAAAAATCAACACATAATTTTCATGGAAACCAACCCTCTCCTGCAAATTATTTTGATTTAGATGAATCAATATATTCCCACAGACAATTTGATTTCTTACAAGCCAGGATCAAAAGCTACTCACTTGTTGGTGTCTATAACAATCAATAAACCATTTGGTAAACACCTATGTAATTTGATAATTTTTAATAAACTGTTTATAAATATATTCAGATTCTATATTTACATTCATATATAATAACAGCCAAACAGATTACCAAAAGTAGTACAATGTGGTTAAGCTTTTGGATAAAATTATTTTATAATAATAAATACAATAATAAAATCCTAATTTTAAATTTATAATGAGAGAGAAAGAAAAAAATCTGAGGATTTATTTCTGTGTGGCCACGCTTCTTCACCACAATGTTGTCTAAACATAGATGGATATTTAGCTAAGTTCTTGAAAGATTTAACATTTGGAATAAACTAAACTGGGACTCTAACATTTTATTCACGAATCAAATTGATCTATTATTTCATATTTGCATCCTATTTTATGAATATGGAACCTAGAGTTATATATGGGTTTGTGTATATTAACTTCCAGCATCAAGATGTAAGCTGTATTAGAAACTATAAAAACCAGAAACAGCTGGTCTTGGTTGGTTACTATTTAAAAGTCATTAGACAATTTAAATATTTATTTTGAATTTTTATTTGAAAAGCAAATGGGTCTTATTTTACAGATGTTCTGCTAACAGATGGTAAAAATCGCTGTTATTTCTGCCTTTCAGTAAGAAATGATAATTCAAGTCATCAGTGTCCATACAAATCAAAATGATACAGAATAGTCTAGGTTCTGTTTGCAATAGCCTCCCTCTATGATTAACCCTTAAAATATTTCTGTGATAACCCAATAACGAAGACTTGGTGAATGAGAGTCCTTTAATTCATTTGGCAATATATTTTAAAGGTTTTGTTTTTAAATATCTATGTTGAAAATTTACAGAAAAATATAAAATAAGCCTCACAGCAGGAACTGTAAAAACTAGTAGTCCTGTGGCACCTTAGGGTACATCTAAACTGCATGGCTATTTCAGGATACTGGAGGTATCCCAAAATAGCTACCCTGCATCTACACAAGCCACCCATTATTCTGAAACATTTTTTTTCGAAATAATGGGCACACTATTTTTCCATCCTGGTAAACCTCATTGAACAAGGGTTAAGGGATGTCTCAAAATAGCACTTTATTTCAAAATTTGGCCCTGTTTGGATGCGCCATCTGCTATTTCGAAATAAGATACTCAATTTCTGTAGCACGAGCTATTTTGAAATAGAAGCAGTGGAGTGTCCACACTACTGCTATTTCGAAATAGCTATTTCGAAATAAGCGTTATTCCACATGAAATGAGGGTTTATTATTCCAGAATAGGAAGTCTGTTATTTCCAAATAATTTTGAAGTAACGGGCTTGCCGTGTGGATGCTCACCTTGTTATTTCGAAATAATGCTATAGTGTAGATGTGCCCTTTTAGTGTTTTTTTGGGGAAACTTGAGCCTTATCAAAGGGCCTAATCTTCAGGAGGCTGTTGTTCAGCTTTTTCTGAAAACCAGACCTCTTTAACATGGTTTCTAGTTGGACAATCAAAAATGACTAGTCCCTTGTGACAGCCACACTAAGGAGATGTTTGTCTGCTAACATGCTGCATGATTGGAAGGAATGCCAAGGAAAAGGCATAGAGGAGTAGCCATGTAAGTCTGTAACTTTAAAAACAACATAGACGTAGCCTTAGAGACTAACAATATATATAGACGTAGCCTTAGAGACTAACAATATGTATTTGTGGGTAAAACCCATTTCTTCAGATGATCTTGAGTGGAGAAAAAGGGGGAACTATCAGAATTATAACTGTAAAAGAAAGCAGAGGGGGGAAAATTGCCTGTCAATAGTAGTACAAGTGCTAATGAGGTAATTGAGTAGGCTGGAAGTGTCCCATACTTAGCTTTTGTTGTCAATGATGTGTTAAATGTAAGGAAGACTGGTTTTTTTTAATGGACCATCCAGTTGATTTCTTAGCTCAGCCCAAACTGTGTAACAATCAATTTAATGTTTTTGTTCAGGTAAATGTTATTTTTGCTAGCACTGTCAGAGCTTTTCTGAGACACAAGGTGGCTGACACAGCATCTTTCATAGGACCTATTTGAAAGAGATAAGCTACTGAACTTCACACAGCTCTTTTTCAGGTAAGGTCAGAGATTCTCTTTTAGGGAAATTTTAATTTTTTGGACATGATTTATTTATAACTAAATATTAATGTACACACAGTGATACGTGTGGGTCGGGCAATGCAGGGGAGGGATACGCAGCCTGTGCTGTGGCTGGGAACTAATCTTTCAGAGGAGAGCATCCCTAGGTTTACCACTGAGGCAAAGCTGACAGTGTGACTGAGCCAGGCTATTAGGGAGCCAGGAACAGTGGTGAGGAATCAGGTGATGACTGCCTTCATGAAGATAGCCCTGTGGCTACAGTGGATTCTCCAGAATATGCTGGTTTTGGAAGAAGGGGTCAAATTCAGGATGTTTCCTGCCATCAAGGGAAGAGTTTGGACAATACTCTGTCAAGACTCAAAAACATATAGGGTTCCATCCAGCTTCTTCTCTGCCTGTGCCCAGATCTAGCCATTTCCACACATCCCATAATATTTCCAAACAAGGCCTGCCTCCTTCAGAGCTGTGGGTAACCCCACTCCACCACCTGTCAGTGTGACTATCTGTGTGGGACCACATCACAGATTTCCAAGGAGCAAAAAAGAGGAGAATAGTTGAGGAATTTAAATTTTGATATAGTGTAATAGTGCTAGATGCCTTTGGGGAATTAGGAATAGCACCCTTGCTGGTGGGTTTGGTTGATTTATATGGTGTGTAAGGCCTCTGGGAAAAGGAAATGTAGGCAACCCACCATTTACATAGGGCATATGTCAACAACAAAAACCTCAAAAAATGAGGTTTACAGGATATTTTAAAAAGGCTTCTCTTTTTGAAAGAACCACATCTAGACTGCTGTTTCTCTTTCGAAATAGCATTTTTCAAAAATAATGCTGTGATGCAATTATGCAAATTCAAATCCCGGGAAATTCAAATCCCGGCTTCATTTGCAATTTTGATATGTCTAATTTACATCCCTCTTTTTAAAGAGGGATGTCTAAAAGTCTCAGGGGGGTAGCCATGTTAATCTGTAACTTTAAAAAAAAACAAAAACAAATGGCCCTGTAGTACCTTAGAGAATGACAAAAAAAATATATAGTATCTCGAACTTAGAGAATGACAAAAAAAATATATAGTATCTCAAACTTTTGTGGGCACATCCCACTTCCTCAGATGAGTAGAGTAAGAGGCACAGAGCGGTACAGAAATCCCAAATTTTAAGGAAAAAGAGAGGAGAGGGGGAGGAGAAAGGAGAAAAAAACCCTGTCAGTCATAATGCCCGTGCTAAATGAGGCTATAATAGACAGGTTTTTTTTCCCCCTTTCTCCTCCTCTTCTCCCACTCTAACCATCTGAGCAACACTACTTCAAGACTCTGGGATCAAGGATTACTTCAGAAGAGCAAAAGTTGTAAAACTAGGGTGAACAGACTTCAGTAAAATATGAACCAATCTCAGCCTTCACCTGAAACTCAAACCAAAGCTTTCTTGAGGATTAAAAAACCTCTTTTATTAAATTTGCTATTTTTTCCTATCTTTATACAGTGCCTGTGCACTTCCTGATTTCATCTGAAAATAGAAATGACAAAACATCATAAAAGGAGGCAGTTTTGATAAGATTTTCCACTGAGTTTTGCAAACACAAGAGGTTTGAATAAGCATCCAGGTACCTGCTCTGAGGTGGTTACAACTTAAATTAGACACATACTTCAACAAACAATATTAAAAGATAATGGTCAATAGGGAGAAGAGAAAAATGGTTAAACAATGGAGAGTACAGCTATTTGGAAACATTTTATTACAAGGGATGGACTTCATATAGACTGCTTTCATATATTTCTTGCTTGTTACTGGGATATTAATGTAAGTAAAATATTCACAAATTATTCTCCATAGAAAGCTAGAGAGCTATCAACACTTGCTGGTGGGCTGGATATTTTGATGTTCCTTGTTTCCAGTGGACAGCAGCGGAGTGAAGAGGGGCAGGGAGAGATGAAATAAACCGCAACAGGAGACAGTGTGATTAACCTTTTTTTCCCTCCAAAAGGACAAAACATTTATTGCTCTATAATATTGCACTGAATTTACATTTGTGTAACTGAAATCAGAACATGCCTATAAATATCTTACAACTAAGAGACACAAGAGAAATTCAAGGAAAAGGGCATTTCCAGCTACTTCAAGGGAAACAACTGTCTTTTAGTGATATCAGAAAAAAGAACACGTAGTACTTGTAAAGTCTAATTTTGTATAAAGACTCGCGCACAGGGCCTTCTGAGATCACTATGGAGAGACCTGCTGTTTAGACGCTTTTTAGAGACGTTACTGGTTTATAACATGCTGGAAAGCCATGAAACAGGACAGACTAGACAACAATGGAGAGTTGAATGCTAGATGAAGGCTCTTACTTTGTTTTGAAGTAGAACGCAGCACACAGCATGCCCACTATGACTATGCCAAAGACGATACAGGAAATAGACAGCACCTGGCGTTGGTACACCTCTTCACTCTCTGTGGATGGTAAAATGGAGAAAAAATGGTTGTTGATACGTTATTATTTTAACAAATAACACACAAATGAGAGAGATTTTTGAGTTTTTGTTCAGCTAAACACTCAACAGTTTTGATGCTCCCCTGAATCTGTTGTCAGGAAAACAATTAAGTTTCACTTGGCTCACTAGAATTCAAGCCTTTTCCTAACCAAAAAATGAAGTTCAGTTTTGCTTTGACTAAGTTACTACTTAGTGGGTTGGACCTCCTAAAACTGGGAGTCCGTCATCCGGCAACATCTACGGTCCAATAGAACCACGGGTGTTCCTGGACCAGGTAGTTCTGGCTGGGAGTCCCCGATAGTGGGGCTAGGGCCAGGGCAGTCTGGACTCCAGGGGCCACAGCAGCGTGGCAGCCCGGCGGGGGCGGAGGGGTGGCTGGGGCTGGCAGCAGGGAGGGAAGGTGGTCTGAGGAGCTGATAGCAGGGGACCTCCTCTGGTCCCGCAAATTCGCTGAGTCAGATCTCTAGGGCGCTGGGCCAGAGAGGTCCAACCTGTACTATGTTTTGTTCTCCATGCCACACCCTGGATTCCAAGCTGACAAACAACATAAAACACTGAGTGATTCACAGTACTATTAAAAAAAATCAGTAGAGTTTCGTGAAATCCAAAGACTGCTATGCTACATGGCACAGGTCATTACTTTCATGGAAGCTTCTAAAAGTAATTTACTTGGTAAACGTCACCATCTTCTAATTAATTTGAAAGCAGAAGCTGAATGAAAATAATAATAATAAAAAAAAACAAGAAAAACTAGGGAAAAAACCCACAAAGATGTATGTGTGGAGACATCAGCTAGTTAATACACAACCGGAGCAACACATATTGAGTTTGGTCAATATCTCCTTAAAAACAAGGCCTCTCCCACCCCCAGCTTTCCTCTTCCTGGTTGTAAGGTGACAATCAGTTCGGTTTGTATCATTCTCCCTTAACATATTATAGGAGGAGATACAGGCACAAGGCTGTAGGAAAGTACATAGATATGGAAATATCTAAATGGCCAAATAGGTTTTCTGATGGGAACTGGGGAAAACCCAGCAGTGAAATATGCAAGTTAGTGAGATTGGTTATGTCTGTAAAAGAGCTCATTGAAATTTTCTGATAAAAAAGGAGGATGCAGGGATTAGACAAAAAAGGAAATCTTTCAAAACAATGACACCGCAATGGTTGTTTTTACAAACAATTCTTTTTCACAGCAATTTAATCAAGTTTGTTATGAGAACATTATGCATATTGTTATAGAAATGTTTTCGTTACAGACCACCTGACTTTTGGTAAATGAAACACTTCAATAACTTCCCTAATAATGTTTTCAATATACTTTACAAGGTGTCTCTTTTAAAACTTGCAAAATAGAAACAAGTGTGACATTCTGATTTTTTTCAAGGAAGATTTTTTATGATTTTCTGACCAGCTTATCTCCATAGACACATGTAATAATTTCAGTGTTTAATGGAAGTTACTTGCATTTAGCTTTGGGAGAACAGGTCCTTCAGTCATTTTTATACCTCTATTTGAAATTGTAAATGTTATGGATGCTCAATAAGGAGCAAGCAATGTTTGATCCCTAGTCTTTCAGTGAAGGCTAACAGCTGGGTGATTTACTAATACTGGACTCAATCCTGCTGTATTTACATGTGTGGAGTAAGATAGGTTGTACTAAATCATAGAAGGAGTATAAGAATTGGGAGATGAGAATTAAAAACCAACACCATAAAAGTGATTCTCTTTCAGGGAGCTGCAGGAGCCTTTTTCTCATTGTAGTGAAAAGTAGAAAGGGGGCATTGGTTAAGTTAGTAGAGAGCTGTGTAGGATACATTCCCCCGGAGTTCAAGGATGTTTTACTAGTGCCACACCATCTACAGTGCTACTTATACTCATGCTGTAGGAGCTAGCTACATATGCTCTACGCATCACCAAAAGGAGTGCACTATTCAGACATACCCTATTATATAGTATAAAATCTTATAAATAATATCACCTGATATGGCTGTCACAGAAACCGATCTAAGTCGAATTTTGAGTCATGGTTCAACTTCACATTTCTTTTCACCTTTACTTTGCAAGTATCTTTTTAGTGCTCAGAAGTCTGTGAAACTGGGTTCTAGGTTCTAATACACAACATACACAACACACAAAAATTCTAGTTTCATAGCTGTTTTTCTTGTGACTTTTTGAAATACAGGAATCATAACAACATTAGGCACTCTCTGCTGTCCTGTGATACTAATCTTGTTTGCCATGAATGTGATAATCTTAAAATATTCACCAAGAACATTTCTGTTTCTTTTGCTACTCATTTTGGAAATGCTGTGTTTCATCTGGCTGTAGTATATTATTGGTTCTGAATTTTTGTGAAAGGATTTATATAACACTTCTCTCCAAGGAAAAGGCATCCCAGGGACAAACAGTATTACTCTGCTGAAATAACTAAGGGCATTGCTACGCAGCAGGGCTAAAGCTGAAATAAGCTATTCAACTTGAGCTTCATCAATTGCATAGCTTAAATAGAAATAGCCTAGTTCAGCTTTTGGCGCTGTCTACACAGCAGGAAGTCTGAGAAAAAACTCTCTTCCTCTGACTTTCCTTACTCCTTGTAAAATGAGGGTTACAGGAGTTGGAGTAAGATGTCCTCCAGTTCAACATTATTTCAGCATTATGTCGAAATAACTGCTTGTAGTGTAGACACAGACTATCTTATTTCAGAATAACCTTAGTTATTCTGAAAAAAAAAAAAAAACGCTGCTGGGTAGATGTAGCCTAAGTGAAGATCTTTACTGTTTAAGACCTTTGCATAGTAAACTTAATCCTTGTCACTAGATCCTACTCATGCTAATCAATACTTTCTTTTTGGTGTTGCTATTTGCTTTGTACAGTATGTATGTATTTATAGAACTGCTCATTGATTAGTGCAACTGCATATTCTCAGCAACTTTTCTTTTGGGTACATTCATTAACTCTTTGTTCAAGTACCTCAACTCATGTATCTAATGTCTTAAAATATTTAGTAATATTCCATTCTCTGTCATACACCCTTGTTCTTAATACCCTTTTTATTGATATTGAGTTAGTCTGCATTTCTTTATGAGCCTTATTTGTCACAGAAGAAATACCACAGCCATCATCCATTCAGGCTCAGTATTAAATAGAATTCCCATAAGGACCCACTAAATCCCTTCCTTAATCTGCTGGATGGATTAAGGTTGAATAATACAAAGCACAATTCCACTCCCACAGAAAAGAAACAAGCTGAAACAAAGAGTCAATGAACAAAAACTGAAAACACCTAATCCCTTAAATAGGAACAGGCTCGTAGAACCTTTGTACATACAATTCTACCAGGGTCATCCTTAAAAGCATATTGGTTGTCTCAAAGTACTTATCTTCATTTTATCAGTATTTCCCATAGTAAGTTTATGAAATGATGTATTAATATACAAGAGGCAACATGATCTAGTGGATAGAAAACGAGACCAAGAATCAGAGCTTCAAGCTTAAGTTCTTGGTCTTCTATGTGACTGGGGACAAGTCCCCTCATTTCAGTTTCCTTTCCTATCCCCATGATGTCATTTTAGGTGGTAGTTCTCTCTTCATCCAAAAAAGTTTCAATTATTATTTTCTTCAATTTAAAAATCAGGTTTTGTCATTTTTTTGCTTCTACAATTTTTGAAATCACAATATCTCTAGGCAATTTATTCCAGTGTTTAACCACCCTGGCAGGTAGAAAATTTTTCCAAATGTCCAACCTAAACCTCTCTTGCTGCAGTTTAAGCCCATTGCTTCTTGTCCTCTCCTGAGAGGCCAAGGAGAACAATTTGTCACCCTCCTCCTTGTGACACTCTTTATGGAGCATTAAAAGTCCAGATCCAAGAATAAATAAGAGAAGGGGTGGGGGAAGGAAGGAAAAAAAGTGAATTAGAATGTTCAAGTTACAAGAAGCTGATAAGAACAATTTGCACCTTCTGTAAATACTCACTGTTTAGTTGGTTAAGTCATTAGGATTCAGAAGGACACTCAAAACATAAATACATTCCCCTAAAAAAAATGAAAGGAAACCTCGGCTGCAGGAAGAATTTCTACCACAAACAAGGAAAAGTTTAGCAGAAATTCCATGAAAATTACTGGGGACTTAGTTGTTGATATAGATTTTATATGGAAGGTCTTCCAGTACTACATTGGTATAGTTTAACGTATGTGCCTGTCTATATTTGCATAATAGTAGCACCTAGGGTATGTCTAGACTACATGGCTCTGTCGACAGAGCCATGTAGTCTAGACATACCCTAGGTGCTACTATTATGCAAATATAGACAGGCACATACGTTAAACTATACCAATGTAGTACTGGAAGACCTTCCATATAAAATCTATATCAACAACTAAGTCCCCAGTAATTTTCATGGAATTTCTGCTAAACTTTTCCTTGTTTGTGGTAGAAATTCTTCCTGCAGCCGAGGTTTCCTTTCATTTTTTTTAGGGGAATGTATTTATGTTTTGAGTGTCCTTCTGAATCCTAATGACTTAACCAACTAAACAGTGAGTATTTACAGAAGGTGCAAATTGTTCTTATCAGCTTCTTGTAACTTGAACATTCTAATTCACTTTTTTTCCTTCCTTCCCCCACCCCTTCTCTTATTTATTCTTGGATCTGGACTTTTAATGCTCCATAAAGAGTGTCACAAGGAGGAGGGTGACAAATTGTTCTCCTTGGCCTCTCAGGAGAGGACAAGAAGCAATGGGCTTAAACTGCAGCAAGAGAGGTTTAGGTTGGACATTTGGAAAAATTTTCTACCTGCCAGGGTGGTTAAACACTGGAATAAATTGCCTAGAGATATTGTGGAATCTCCATCACTGGAGTTATTTAAGAGCAAATTGGACAGACATCCATCTCAGATGGTGTAGACAGTGCTTGGTCCTACCTTGAGGGCAGGGGACTGGACTTGAAGACCTCTCGAGGTCCCT